TGAAACAATACAGCGATGCTCCACGAGGTGTTGAGTTCATGCTCATCTAGATGTTGCCTGGACCGTATCATGACCGATCATGTTTCTGTAGGTAAAGTCAGCTCTTCCCTATCTCTTAACAACTTGTTTTTTGAATTAAAACTCTTAGCATATTAGGTGCACCAGCCATATGAGATGCAATCTGATGTATGTATCCTATGCTTTCATGAATCTTTCTCCCTCGTGCTATGGCCAAGTCTGAACTTGTACACCCGTGCATTCTATTTCTTTTTCTCGAATAACCGAAACATGACAGATAGGCAATACTAATTAAATACATACATACATGTATCTCATTATCCTATATTATGAAGTACTCCTGAAGATTGCGCGTACTATCAGGTTAAACCAGCAACCTGCAGTAAGCGATAGACCGGTAATTTATCCTGTCAAACTTGTTCTATATATTCTCTTCTCAGTGAAAATGGGCGCAGTCAGTGTCACTGTGTGTGTTTAAGACAGAATATTTTTTTATTACTCCTTCTGTAAAGGGAGTACTTTCTACGTTACCGCACCTAGATTCATGGCCTTCTATAGTTCCCATGTTAAGATCTGCTGAGCTGATGCCCTTGTTATGTTTTCCAATATTGAAATACTATGGCATTTATGAAATACAGAATTATAGCTATTCTAGTTTGATTCGAATTTGGCCATGATATAAAGATTTGAAGCGTCTGTTAAGAATTCTGGTGCATGTGTGGTGGACCATGATGCAATTAGCAGAGACATGCCAAGAAGGCAACAGTTCTGCACGAGGGTTGAGGTGCGGGTGCAACCATCACACGTTGACAACCAAATCGCCAGAAGGTATTTGCCAATCTCGATTATGAGACGAATCACTCGTGCGGATACTTTGCCATCTATAGACGAAACATGCACACGCTCTCATTCTCACTCATTGATGTCAGTTGCACTAACCAAAATAAGAGAGCACCCGTTTTGCCTAGGCAGCCGATGATTAGGCCGCAGCAGAGAACTTGCTCGATTATTTCCTTTTGGTTCTCAACTATAAATAGAGCGCGCTGCAAAGTTCTCAGCACCAACAAATTAAGCGCATCTGCCCTTCATTCTCTCTTCCATCACCACAAACAGAAATAGTACATCATCAGTTGAGTTCATCCATTAGAAACATGGCCTGCCATCAAAGATCTGCAAGTCTGCCTTCTATCCCTCACTCCACCGAATCAAAAGTGGAGGTGGAACTGCAGGGCCTGCAGACACGCATATCCTCGCCTTCCGCGACCATCGACACAATGTGCGGCGGTCTGAGGAGTCTCGGAGACATCTACAGCTCCATAGAAGAGATCATGAGCCTGCCCAGCAACCGAGTCCCCTTGCAAAGGAAGATGATCGAGGAAGAGCTTGACAGGTCACTTGTCCTGGTGGATCTCTGCAATGCCATGCAGGAGAGCCTGGCAGAGCTGAAGGTGAGCATCCAGGACCTGCAGCTCGCCCTCAAGAGAGGAGATGGCGCGGCTGTTCAGATCAAGACCGAGTCCTTCGTTCGCCTCGCGAAGAAGGCACAGAAGCCTTTCAAGAAGATCACAAGCGGCAAGGCTACCGCCCAAGGCTGCGGGACGGTCAGGCTACTGGTAGAGGCAAGAGACATGGCGGTCTGTCTGCTTGAATCCGCGTCATGCCTCCTACTGAAGCAAGCTGGGGTTGCCAGTGGAAGCAGATGGTCGCTGGTCTCACAGAGGTTCCAGAAGAAGAGGGTTGTCTGCGAGGCGGCGCAGCTGCAAGCGCTGGAGCGTGGCGTGGCTGACCTTGAGAACGGCGTAGAGTCCCTGTTCAGGAGGTTGATCCAGAGCAGGGTTTCACTCCTGAACATCCTTAGCTCCTAGATGCTTCTCAACTCTCAAGCCTTGTTACTCTACCCATCTTTTGTACATTATACCAATTACCAAACATACATACAATCGAATGATGATTACACAGTTTTGATCATGTATTTTGTCAACTGATCACTTCTATCCATGTTTCTTTCTTGTTTACGATGCTTCAACCATGTCCATACCGTGGATTATCTTTCTTTTGTGTATGTGATGGATACAGTAGGAAACAAAAAAAAAGGCTGAATATGCAGAATCTATTGTATATATGCATTATGTTTATTTAGATCATCTAAGAGAGGCAAAAATAAGCACTACCTCAGCTCATATTCTATTGCACGTGAAGTTATCTCGTGGAGAATTGCTGTCTTGTTTCTTCTTGGGCTGGTCAAGAATAATGCTGATCTTTCTGTTGTGCGGCGGATCTTGTTGCAGGTTTATGAAACAAGACAGCAATTCTCCACGAGGTGTTGAGTTCATGCTCATCTAGATGTGGCCTGGACAGTATCATGACCGAGCGTGTTTCTGTAGGTAAAGTCAGCTCTTCCCCCTCTCTTAACAACTTGTTTTCTCAATAAAGCTGTTAGCATATTAGGTGCACTAGCCATATGAGATATAATCTGATGCATCCTATGCTTCCATGAATCTTTCTCCCTCGTGCATTTTATTTCTTTTTCTTGAATAACCGAAACATGACAAATAGGCAATACCAATTACATGCATACATGTATCTCATTATCATATTATTATGAAGTACTACTCGTGGGGTTGTAACAGTTGTTGGAGCTCAGCGATAGAGCGCTAATTTATCCAATCAAACTTGTTATATATTCTCTTCTCAGTGAAAATAGGGTGCAGTCAGAGTCCATGTCAAGATCCCATGTTATTACTTTCTACATTACTGCACCTAGATTCATGGCCTTCCATAGTTCCCAAGAGCCAAGATCCGATGAGCTCGTGCTCCTGTTATGTTTTCCAGTGCTCCCTTCGAACTAGAGTAACATATCTTATGAGAGCTATTTCATAAATGTCATATTTTAGTCTACTAAGAATTATAGCGCATGTGTGGTGGACCATGATGCAATTAGCAGACATGCCAAGAAGGCAACAGTGCTGCTGCACGAGGGTTGAGGTGCGGGTGCAACCATCACACGTTGACAACCAAATTGCCAGAAGGTATTTCGCCAATCTGGATGATGAGACGAACCACTCGTGCGGATACTTTGCCATCTATAGACGAGACATGTACACGCTCTGCATCTCACTCATTGATGTCAGTTGCACTAACCAAAATAAGAGAGCATCAGTTTCGCCTTGGCGGCAGATGATTAAGCTGCAGCGGAGAACTTGCTCCGTTACCAATTCCTTTTGGTTCTCGACTATAAATAGAGCGCGCTGCAAAGGTCTCAGCACCAACAAAGCACATATGCTCTTCACTTTCTCTTCCATCATTACAAACAGAAACAACACATCATCAGCTCAGTTCATCCATTAGAAACATGGCCTGCCATCAAAGATCTGCGAGTCTGCCTTTCATCCCCCACTCCACCGAATCCAAAGTGGAGGTGGAGCTGCAGGGCCTGCAGACATGCATCTCCTCGCCTTCCGCGACCATCGGCACGATGTGCAGCGGTCTGAGGAGGCTCGGAGACATCTACAGCTCCATAGAAGAGATCATGAGCCTGCCCAGCAACCAAATCGGCCTCTCCCTGCCCCTGCAGAGGAAGATGGTCGAGGAGGAGCTTGACAGGTCACTTGTCCTGGTGGATCTCTGCAATGCCATGCAGGAGAGCCTGGCAGAGCTGAAGGCGAGCATCCAGGACCTGCAGCTCGCCCTCAAGAGGGGAGATGCCGCGGCTGTTCAGCTCAAGATCGAGTCCTTCGTTCGCCTCGCGAAGAAGGCGCAGAAGCCTTTCAAGAAGATCACAAGCGGCAAGGCTACCGCCCAAGGCTGCGGGACGGTCAGGCTACTGGCAGAAGCAAGAGGCATGGCGGTCTCTCTGCTTGAATCCGCGTCGCCCCTCCTACTGAAGCAAATTGGGGTTGCCAGTGGAAGCAGATGGTCGCTGGTCTCACAGAGGTTCCAGAAGAAGAGGGTTGTCTGCGAGGCGAACGGCGTGGCGGGTCTCGAGAACGGCGTTGAGTCCCTGTTCAGGAGGCTGGTCCAGAGCAGGGTTTCACTCTTGAACATCCTTAGCTCCTAGATGCTTCTCAACCCTCAAGCCTTGTTACTCCACACATCTTCTGTACATTATACCAAACATACATAATCGAATGATGATTACACAGTTTTGATCATGTATTTTGTGAACTGATCAGTTCTATCCATGTTTCTTTTTTTTTTTACGTTGCCTCCACCGTGGATATGTGATGGATACAGTGGAAAACAAGAAGAAAAAAAGTGCATCTATTATCTTTAGGCTTCACCCAAGTTAACTGAAACTTACTATTTTACTATTTTCCTTCTACACGGTGATCGTCTTACCCAGGTTAACTCACATTGGCACGTAGGAGTAATCTTCATGTGATTGATCTTGCTGCTTGAGCTTGGGTTCATGTGGAACTGCAATGTCCCAGCAACTTCAAATAAAATGGAACTGCAATTGTCATTGTGAATTTTCAACGGTTCATGTGGTTACTTCACGAAGGTTACTCAACAGTTCAATGTGGCAAGAATCACAAGGAGCAAAGGATAATAGCTCCATGCGCATCAAATTGTATTATGGCAATAAAAGATGAACCGATGAACTGATGATAATTTGCGCATCATATTGTACAGAGGAGATGCTTTCACAGTACACTCGGCAAAATTGGCTCAAAACTTGTACAACTTGCACAACAGAAAAGTAAGCTCAGCTAAGTCGGCTCTTAATACATCATACAGAGAGCGAACACCGCCACAGTTCAGTCCTCAACATGACAGGGGCTAGCCATAGCAGAAAAACAGAGACGGACATAGAAGGTGCAAGGCACAATGAGCCCGCACTGAAGCTAAAGAACTCTCAGGTCTACTGCTAGTCTGTTTCTACCCCAAGAGTGACCACCGCTGCACGCCGCTCCTTAAGAGGAAACAGCTCCAGGTATGCTCCTCTGAAACCACAGCATGGTTGCCACGGACATGTTCTGATCCTATACCACTGAGCCAGGTTCTGTCATCACCTGCTGCACAGCAAACAGTAATGCACCTTCCTTCTGCATCTCCTGGATGAGTTGCGCAGATCTTGGTGTCCGTGAGACAACAAAACCACAGAGTTTAGGTGGCGGGGCTTCTGGATTTGAGCAGCGCTGTCCATGATCAGCTGGGCCGATATTTGCAGAAACTAGAGCTCCCACGTCAACAGGGGGCAGGACATTGCCAGACAACGCTTCCTTTCCTAGTTGGTTTGCATCCAGTAAGGGTTGATTCTCGGGATGCACGACCAGGTCAAGGGTGTTGCTTTGTGCCTTGTCTTCCTGGTCCAAGGAATGCTGTTCTTGGGCATGTTCTTCCTTTGAAACATGTGCAGTACAATCTTGTTCCACTGGAGGTAATCTTCTGATCTTACCTTTTCTGGGCTTGAACATTCCCCATAGATAGGGTTTCCCTTGGAACGCTGCGACAAGACAGAAACTAAGAGCATGCTTGGATACGTTTTAGTCCCATGACTAAAAGTAGTGGGACTAAAACTTGCTAGTCTCACCCATGCTTGGATCCAAATACTAAAGAGACTAAAATCTAGTTATTGAGCATTTATTATCCTCCAAACCCTCCAATCCAGAACTAAGGAGAGGAATTAAATGAGGAGAGAGAGAGAGCTAATACATATTTTAGTAGGTTTCCCATGACTAAAAGATTTTAGCCTCAAGACTAGTCCTAGCCTCTCTTTAGTCAGGGGTGCTTGGAACTTTAGCCTCTAAAAGAGACTATTTTTAGTCAGACTAAAAATAGTCCCTTGTATCCAAGCACCCTCTAATGACTGACTGACAAATTACTAAAAAAGGGCAGCCCGGTGCATGTAGCTCCCGCTTGCGCAGGGTCCGGGGAAGGGTCCGACCACTTTGGGTCTATAGTACGCAGCCTTTCCCTACATTTCTGTAAGAGGCTGTTTCCAGGACTTGAACCCGTGACCTCTTGGTCACAAGGCAGCAGCTTTACCACTGCGCCAAGGCTCCCCTTCACTGACTGACAAATTACTGCAAAAGAAAAATTGACATGGAGCAAAAGCTTTGTATAAACCATGCATGCTCCACCATGACAAACAAAACAATGTTCAAGTAGGCAGTATGAAAGATCATGCACAACTGCATTACACATTACTATACCAAATACAGTTTACTACATTAGTGGTAGCATAGGCAGATTAGGTGTAATATGGTATATTTTGCAGGATACTCATAATTTTGAATAATGAAACCTGCCATATGACCTACTCTGATGTTGCACTGGTAGTGCACCAGAAGGGAAGAGAAACAGCTTCCTCAAACCAACAACAGCTTCTAGAACAATTCCACTATCAGCGAGATGCTTCACCAGCTCATCCAGCTCTTTAGTTTGCCTAGAGGATCAAAGAATGTCAGACCCTAGTATGTGTAGAAGGAATAAGACAGACAAACATGCACAGGCTCAACAAACCTCATATCACCCGAAAAGAAATACAAGCCAATGCTGTCAGCTGTAGGTATCGGTGCCTCAAAGTGCGGACATGATTTTGATGTAGAAAACTTGGCCACTTTCATTATTGGTGGCAGTGATCTTGACAGTTCTTGCACCTTCTTGCCTGCTTTGGTTGACAGGTGTGCAGCCAATGGAATATAGTTATTGTTGATCTTCATGATTCCACTATCAACATAAAGAGAACATATTAGCACTCTACAGACGAAAAAAAAAGTATGCAAGTAATGGAATAAAGGGCATGTAACATACGTCCAACAAGGTATATCAAGGGGTTGCCCGCCAATACATTCTGAAATGACTGGCATCCTTGAACATCCAGCATTCAGATTTCTTACAGATGCATTTTCATCTTCCTCTGCCTCTATGCTTCTCTGCTTCTTCACCTGCTTATGATTCTTCGAACATCGATTCAAATTTCCTGACCCCAAAGCTTCTTTACCTTCTTCTATAGATCTTCTCTGGTTCTCCGCAGCATTTTCCACGCATTTTCTTTGCTTCTTCACATGTCCATCGTCATCACAAGACCAGGAATTCAGATCTTCTGCCTGTAAGGCCACAGCATCTTCCTCTTCGTCATAAGATAAAATGAGTTTTCTTCGTTTCTTTGGCTCATCGCGCTCGTGTAATTCTTTCGATTTTGAAGAGAAACCTGATGCTTGCGCTGCACAACTGCTGCTTGGATTATTCAATGCGCAGCTGCTTTCCATCAGCGCCAGATCCATGTTTTCTGAAGGTTTTGATCTGTCCACATAACGTCTGCGCAGAGAGTAGGGCTGCAAGACGCTGGTAACCATACCTCTCTCCTGTGAAGGTCTTGATCTGTCCACAGAACGTCTACGCAGAGAGTACGGCTGCAAGACACTGGTAACAACACCACTCTCCTGTGAAGGTCTTGATCTGTCCACAGAACGTCTACGCAGAGAGTAGGGCTGCAAGACACTGGTAACCATACCTCTCTTCCGTGAAGGTCTTGATCTGTCCACAGAACGTCTACGAAGAGAGTAGGGCTGCAAGACACCTGTAACCATCCCTCTCTTCCGTGAATATCGTATGCCCTTGTTAGCCAGCCATGACTTAACAATTTTCTTATCTTTTCCCATCTTTGAGTGCCCAATAACGTTATCACTGCTACCATTGTCTTTCCTAGGCGTGTTCTGGCAAGTTCGTGCTGGTCTACCACTTTTTGACCATGCAACATTGGCATTTTCATTCCCACTTATAATACAGGCTTTCTGATATTTTGTTCCATCAGGAACGTAATTTCCTGATTGCTTACGCTTTCTAGGGTTGATTTTTGTTGACTCACATGGACCAACAAACTTGGAAGGCAATAACTCATTGTTAGTGCCTTCCTCTTGCAATAACTCATTGCTAATGCCTTCCTCTTGCAATAACTCATTGCTAATGCCTTCCTCTTGCAATAACTCATTGCTAATGCCTTCCTCTTGCAATAACTCATTGCTAATGCCTTCATCTTGCAATAACTCATTGCTAATGCCTTCCTCTTGCAATAACTCATTGCTAATGCCTTCCTCTTGCAATAACTCATTGCTAATGCCTTCCTCTTGCAATAACTCATTGTTAATGCCTTCCTCTTGCAATATCAGCTGAAGAGGCACCTTTTTGACGGCAAGAGAAGTCTTTCCTGCATTACATTGGAGCTTTATTGCATCTCGGTTACCATGTGCTGGCTCAGGATCTGTAATTCCATTTACCTTGCAAGAGTTAACTATCTTTCTAGCAACACACATTCGCCTTCGCATCTTATTGTCTTTGGTGCTTGATAAAAGCTCATCTGATCTTCTATTTGCTTCATCTGAGTTACCTTCACCACAACTCAAGCTTTCATTTGCCATTTTGGGATTTGATTCTTTGTGGTTCTCCAATTCAGAGGCAACGGTTTCCATGTCCACCAAGCACCTTGTTCTTTCAGCACCGTTTTCCTGAGTAGCCGTAGCCGCATCTTCTGGTTCATTTGAGGGACTTGATTGCATCAGCGGCATTGCCCAAGAGTCCAGACGCTGCTCTAGAGGATTCAAGACATCCACACTCCCTGTCTCCAGATCTGATCCTTGCATCGGCTTTGAATGATTTGGTGCAAACTTTGATGCTACAACAGTCTCCTCCAATCCTTTAACCAACTTCAAAGGTTCAGATTTCTCTATTTTTACCAATAAACCATCTGCTTGCTCCATGCTTGCCGATGTAGAACAAGACTTGTCCACAATTATTGGGCGGGATCCCTCGACCTCATTCATTAGAGAAAAAATATCACCCTTCCTTCCTGGTGGAACAAAACCCTCAACATACTTCAATGAAGCAAAGCAGCCACTCCTTGCATTTGGGAGATCAGGCCAGTCCATAGAATCTGAAGCAAGTTTAGAACCACCAACTGCCTTTTGCAAATTGTTGGGTTCAATACTTGAAGCATGATCCAAAGCCAAATTACTTGAACCATCAAAACTCTCCGGTGTGCAAATTAAGTGTCCATTTATATCCTCCCCTTCCTTCTTACAATCAATGAGGTTGGGTATATCCCGGACAGAGATTTCACGAGAATCTAATTGCTCCTCAACACATCGTCCCCGATTCGATGTGTCTCCACCCGGGACATGTTCAATACTTTCATCAAAACTAGCTTCTCTTTCTCGGCATGGTCTATTTCTACGAAGTACTCGTGCCTTCGTTACCTTCTCTTGCTCCACATTTGGTTCATTGACTACAGAGAAATCCAACTTGGTGTTCCTTAGTTGCCTTTGACAATTTGCGTCTCCTGGCGGCTTAATGGCTTCATTGTGTTTTGGGATACAATCACTACATGACCACTCCACTGCCGAATCAAAGTTTATCTCGTCCAAACAATATCTACAAAACAACAAACCATGTTAAGTTAAAGATATAGCTTGGATTATTCAAGATGTTTATAAAACAACCACATGTCAAGAAGGGGTTTGCCCTCTCTTTACAAAGGCATAGATATCTAGGCCCCTCAATGTGATTGGATTTAGAGAGTACATGGCAATGTAAAATGTTGTTGTAGAGTAGACTATAATGATGATTGGTTAGTCATCATCTCATAGTAAGTTCCATCCACTATAGAGCCAAACCACTTACACAACACAACAGAGCCTTTGAAATATCTTCAAAACACAGCTAGTGACTCTCGGCGACCCTGTAGCGCTTCACGAGCGGTTACTGGATTGGAATAGGTGCCAAGCAATTCGCTTATGTGTCGGGAGTTACGGAACCCAACCATTGAGGGTTGCCCTATGTGTCGGTTTGTTTAGAGGTGGTGTAATAGCCCCGGACCAACATTTCCTTAGAAATTGATTGTGCATCATGATCATCTAATCAAGAGTATACTCCAAATGTCCGTCCCGAATTACTTGTCGCAGAAATGGATAAAAATGGCTGAATCTAAAACTAAAATACGTCTAGATACATACATTCTACAGGTAATTCCGGATGGAGTATTTATTTAATTTTGATATGGGATTGAGGATTAATTCAACACTCCAATTTTTCTTAAAGGGCTAAAACCCTAAATTGTGCCAATTGTCCAAAATGCCCTTCTTGAAACCTACAATTGGCAAAAACCTCATTCATTATGCGGGCCCACCTAGAATTTTAAGGTTTAAAAAGGATTTAAAATAACTCCGCCTATGTCTTCTAGGCATAGCCGGTCCCAAGCCCGGGTAAAGGAGGAGGGTTGTGATAGGCTTGGCAAGCCAACGTAAAAACTAGCCAATCCCATGGGTATGAAACCCGTTTGAGCGAGAGTAGTACTAGGATGGTGACCTCCCGGGAAGTCCTCATGAAAGGGTTTCATATCTAAGGGTTGTGATAGGCTTGGCGAGCCAACGTAAAAACTAGCCAATCCTATGAAACCCATTTGGGCAAGACTAGTACTAGGATCGGTGACCTCCTAGGAAGTCCTCGTGGAAGAGTTTCATATCTAACCTACCTCAACTTGTTTGGGACAAAAGGCTTAAAAAGGTTTTAAAATGGATCTCTACTTATATATATACTACTAAAAAGAACATAAGGTTCCCATTTCACCTCTCCTTCGTCTAACCTTCTTATCCCCCCTCTTCCCTTCCCCTCTTTGATTTTTTTCTCCCATCTCTGCTTTTCTCTCACATTGATTTTCCGTAAAATGGAATCAGTTGTCCCATGTTTTATTAACATTGTCCCATGTGTTCATTAACAATAAGATGGCAGGTAAATTATGGTGATTGCATACAAAATCTTGCTAAGATTTTAGCGCATCATGTACTAAGAGCTAAGGTTTCATCTTTCACTTTTCTCCCCATCAACCCATAATCCACCCTCCACCCTTTTTTTTCTAGATTTTCATCCCCTTATGGTATAGCAATAAATTCATAGCCATACAAGCAAATAAATACAGTATCAATCAATCTCTTATTTATTTGCTTGATTCACCGCCCACCCTTTATACCCCCTCCCTCTCCTAGATCGTGCCATGACCGCAGCATTCCAACAACCGACATCTCCTGCACCGACCATGGCGATTGTCGTGCCTCGCCGCACCACAGCCGTACCTACGCTACCTCTAGCGCTCGACCACCTGGCCATGGATCTCGACGCACATGGCTCCCCATCATCGATCGCTAGCCTGACGCCCGACCATCAGCCTTCCCAATCTACGGGCACGCCCCTGCACCTCGTCGACGAGCCACCGCATCCAACATATCAATCGTCCTCCTCGACCACAACCACCTCGAGCGCCTCCCTATGCCCTCTATTAGCAACGAAGCCAGACTCAAGTATCCATGGCCTCATTGCTAATTTTTTGAAAACAAAATCTTCACAGTGAACAGTAAGTATACAGTGTTTTAGGTTGTTTTATTCAAAAGTTATTAGGTCAGCTAACCCACAACCAACATGTAGAATCACCTCTGCCCTCCGTCGACCCACCAGCCCTGTCACCGACTCTGACCGACTCTGGCAGCCCCTACCCAAGATCATCGACGAGCTCAATTCCGCTTCCACCGATCGCCCACATCCACCGCCTCTGGATTCGCTCACTCACCGGCCCCACTACACATGTCGTCCACCGTTGCCTCTGAATCAGCGCCACTCTAGACCCGACCATCAACGACCGTTGAATCTGTTTCCAACACCGAACAACCCCTGACAACACCGCCACCGAGTCCAACAAGGCCCCGCCAAATTCGTCGACAACCAAAACCACCGCCCCGCAAGTACCTCACTGCCAATGACCACCGCAAACCCACCACCAAGTTCAATGACGACCCACAGAGCCGATCTGCATCACCTTTGAGGCAACCACCGAGTGCGATGGCATGCATACTCAAATAACGTGTAGGTACTTGCTCCATGGTCGAGATTTCACGTATGCATGTGATGTATGAGATGCACCTAGGGCGTGTTCGAGAGCCCTCCAACTCCTGGCTCCTTCGACTCCAACTCTGGAGTTTGACCGAATGCTCCAGCTCCTGGAGTTTAGCGAGAGAAGCTGGCGGCGAGCGCAGTGTAAAAACGAGGATTCGCGAAGCTGGACAAACCGAGCTCCCAGAAAAAAGAGAAGCTTGAGTTGATGGATATTACCAGCCCCTGCCACCGCCAAGTGAGTTCCTCACGTACCGATTCGCTAGCTGACCGGGCCTATGGGCCATCCCCAGGCCTAGTACACTAAACGAGGTCAGCCCAAACGAACAGGACGTTGGCTCCAGGTTTTGGTGCACCGAACAGATCGCTGGCTCTAGAATTTCACATGAGAAGCTGGCGCTCGGAAGCTGGTGGTGGAGTTCAGGATTTTGCGGCCACGGAGGAGTACCGAACACACCCCTAGTGTATTATCTCTCCCGATGACCGGGATCACTCCCTGTAGCAAAACACGACACACACACACACACAATTACGACCAATTGCACCAAAATCTCTAACGAGAAACTAGACAAGCACATTGTTGTTGTAAGCCCAAATCACTGCCATGGCTACCAATTTGTGCTTGTCGTGGCACGAAATGGTAAAACGCATATTATATATCAAATTATTTAAAAAATTGCATTTAACCTTGATGTGTCATTCTAATGCATGTTAACACCATAAAAAAATTATTTACTCAAATAACAATAATTGACTTCCTATTGATATGGAGAAGGAATTGCTTTATATAAATGATTCTTCTTCATTTAACTTGTGCAATTTGACTAGTGCATCCCCATCATAATCTTATGCCATGTTCGGATGAACCCTATCATTATTTGTTGCAATTAGTGTAATCTCACTTAGTGTGTTTTGACTCCAAATAACTTGGGGCCTGTTTGGTTCATAACTAACTTTGCCACAACTAACCTTAGGCAAAGTGTGGCTGCCACAAAAAGTGTGGCTAACAAAATGGCCACCACAAGTGTGGCAAGATTTGGCAAAAAATTGAGCCTATGACATGTGGGCCATATAACTAGAAAAGTGTGGCAAGCCACAAGTGCGGCAATAAACCAAACACATGCCTAAGGTGTTGTGGCATGACTAAGGTTAGGCGTGGCAACCTTAGGCTGGGAACCAAACAGCCCCTTGATGGTGTTCATTAGATTATTTTCAACTCCGCACCATGTTCATGCTTGTTACACTTCATGTACTAGCCAACGCAACTAGAAGCCCGAACTGATGGAAAGAGCTAGGCAACAAATACACTTCAACACTCCCTCTCTTGTGTGATGCGGGAAGTCAACACATGGACAGACCCAGAGTAACAACAATTTTTAGATAAATTGCAAAAGCCAGGACTTGAACTCAAAACCATGGGCTCTGATACCATGTTAAGCTTAATGTAGTAGCCAACGCAACCAAAAGTCTGAATTGATGGAAATGGCTAGGCAATGTTTACTTGCGTTCATGTAAGTGCCACTAAATGAATGCCTAGTTTGGGGTCTTTTGAAAATGCTTCATGTGATGCATTCCAAGTTCAATTAACATTTAGGATAATCCTGCATAACCATATGACATGCCATGCATTGCATTTCATGAATACACTACATCTTTGTTGGCTTCTTCAACATAGGATTTGAAGATGGCATGAGTCGCTCTGAAATTACCTTTACTTTCTAGCCCTATCATGAGTACTTGGTTGTGTTCTTTGCCTGTTTAGCCCATCTTACCAGTCATAGTATGCATGCTTAGGATTGTTGCTTGAGTCATGTTATATCTACTTACCATTGTTTATGAGTAGTTGAACCTGGCTCTGATACATTGTTGTTGTGTTACGAATATACTTATGTTTATATGTAGCGAAGGCTTGGAGCCCATGTTTGAGCACATGGTGTTTTGTTCAACTGAGCTAACACTAGGATCCGATGTGTTTGGTAATCTTGGGAAGGGGAAGGGGAATCTAGGAGGGAGTTGTGACAAGATTAGACATGAGAAGTGCTATTTTGATCCCAATTCCTTGTTTAGTATGGGTGAGATTACATGTGGAAATTTAAGAGGGGCGTTTATTCCCTCATTTTGTTAGTGGGAATTCATGTGGCCTTAGCCGAGAGATGGGAACATAAGTTATGATGAAGGGACGAGATGTTTTGTGTAAATCAATTCCCACCCACTCCCCTTCAATAAAATGGTGGGACTTTTACCAATCCTTTCTAAATTCCCATTCGTTCTAACCAAACAGGCAACTTTATGTTTTAGATCTCCTAAATTTCCATTTCCATTGTAGTTCTTTGTCTTGATCAAAGACCGAGCGTACCAAACTCTCAATGGGAGAGAATAGGCCCCTCTCACGACCTAGTACCTAATCCCCAGACCTATCCAAGGGCCCCATAGTTCAGGCTTTCCTTTTGGAATACAGGTAGTTGCATGAATCATCTTCGTCTACGACAAGTATGAGATGTTAATTTTTATCATGGGATGGTGTTTTCACCTAATGTTTTCATACATATAGGAATGTGGCCGAGCCAAGTGATTATCCTGGTCAAGGCTCTAGACATCTTGGACCACGCGCACAATGGTCGGGTCCGACTCAAAGCTATGGTTGGACTATCGATTCGGGTACAACTTAGTTGCCTGGCTCGTTGGACTTGTTCTACAGCGTGTGGGAAGTGTTCATGGATTATCTCACTCCGCCAACATACCGTGTGTGCTACTCGCACAAGCACCAAGAGCAATAGGCACGTGTTAAGGTACAATGTTAATCCCTATAGGATTAAATTTATCGAAATAGCCATGTCCAAGGTTATGGATAACTTGGTGATTTTGTACTTGATACTAGAACAACTTCAACTAATAACTAATAAAACTTGCCAACTTAGATGTGAGTGCCATGGATTTACTTCCTTGTGGGTGATGCGAGGGGGATTCATGGTGTGGTGTCATGCTTAACGTTAGGATACCTGAAGCAAGTTATCATGTGTGCATTCATTGTCATTGTTTCAAGCATTGTTTGGAGAACTTGGTGTATCTGATTACAAAACCGTCGCCCCTATAAGATGAGAATCTTGAAGCATAATGGCTCTTTTCTCTAGGTTGCCTCTATAAGGCATCAACCCCTTAGGCTCGGGCGGACTTTATGATACCATTGAAACTCTCATAGCCTTTGTATTCCCAACCACCACTTGTTCTTGAGTCACTTCTTAGGGCGACAAGCAAGCGATCTCAGTGATCAGTGATAGGCCAAAGGGGAGGTAAGCAACGGCAAGGAGAAGGAATTAGGGGCTAGAGAGCTTGGAAAGTGTCTTCAATGGCCACATTGGAGAAATTGAGGAAGAGAAGGTCACGCACAAGAACAGGGATAGGCTAGTTTATTACTTTCCTAACCCAAACATGATATTCTATAAACTGGTTATTCAAGAAATACATGAAACCAATTTTGCCAAAAACTAGTTATAAACTCGTCGCCCCTATAAGATGAGAATCTTGAAGCATAATGGCTCTTTTCTCCTGGTAAGGCATGAACCCCCTTTGACTCCGGTGGACTTTATGTTACCGTTCAAACTCTCATAGCCTTTGTATTTCAAACCACCTCTTGTTCTTGAGCCCCACCTTAGGGCGACAGGCAAGCGATCTCAACGACCAGTGGTAGGCCTAAGGGGAGGAAAGCAGCAGCAAGGAGAAAGAATTAGGGGCTAGGGAGCTTGGAAAGTGTCTTCAATGGTCACATTGGAGAATAGGAATAGGCTAATTTATTACTTTCCTAACAAAAACATGATTTTCTATTAACTAGTTATTCAAAAAGAAGTTTGTAAAACCAATTTTGCTAGAAACCGGTTAGGAACTCTTACTATACGTGTGGCTAGTGTTCAACATGGTGCCCTCCGGCAAAGGAGGCAAACTGGTGTGCCTTGAGACCATTGGTGGCATAATGGTTGTGCGCTCCTTGCCTGATGTTTTAATGCTCTGCTAATGCACAATTAGTAGAGGTCCATCTTTAATTTAGATCAACAATATATGTGGGGTTAAGATCATTTGGATTCCTTGATAGTGATGTTTTTTTATAATATAGGGCAGTGCTACACAACATCGTCATATTTCAGTTCTATATGCGGTGATCACTCCTCTCTCTTCCTCTCACATACATGCATTATAATGTATATAAATGGACATTGCTACAGAACGGCGTCACATTCAGTACTACCACGCGACCACCACTCCTCTCTTTCTCTAGACATGCATGCAACCAAAAAGAGGCCAATGTATATAAGCATCAACGAAGATTCCTTAGTTTTTTAAAAAATGTTTTATCCCCAAACCGCTAATCTAATGGATCCTGTGATATATGTTTTGGCAATTTTTCTTCCATAGATAATTGCTAGATTAATATCACTTCCTAGATTGTAGCCACTTCGTTACTTAGTTCTTAGTTATACCAAATTAAAGCAACTAAGTTAGGTTACTACTAGATGCCCCCACCCATGTAAGACTTGCCTGGAATACTTGAAAACTCATTTTGTAGTCCTACATAGCACTGGAGTGCTTGAAAACACATGTAAAATATTGCATGGTAACCACACAATATTATTGTGGCAATTGTTCATTGCTAATATGGCAACCATGTTATACATATAGCAACTTGTAGTGATAACATGCCAACATGGGTTCTTGTTTTGAAGCTCTCAAGACGAACTCAACGACAAAGACAAATTTATAATTGGATTAATGGTTTAGTATTTATAATTGGATTATATGTTTGACCAAGATGTATTTTCATATTTTTATTTATTTAGTATTAATAATGTTGATATTTTATTCTAGAATCCCATATACATGTTTGACTTTCACAAAAAATTATGCACCTTATATTATGAAACTATGCACCTTATATTATAAAACTATATGCACCTTATATTACGAAACAAAAGGAGCAACAGATATAGATATAATAGATCAAAGGAGGACCAAATTAGGGAAGGAACCATAGGATGAGCAAATTAGGAAAAAAGGACAAAGTGTCATCAGTTGGGGGGATAAGACTAAATTATCCCAAGATATTTGTATATCTTTCCCCAAAATATGACACCCACTAAACTATGAAAACTAGCATCATAATAAATATGCATGGCCTTAATCATTTGGATTCCAAAACATAGGTGCTTTTTAATACCGGTATAATATACTCAGAAAAGCAAAAACGCCCTTCTTTGAGAGTCAAAGGTAGTAATAGATATGGATAGGGGGGAAGATCAAAGGATGGCCAAATTAGGGAGAAAGAACAAAATGTCATCAGCTTTGGGGCACGCGATCAAATTAATCCAAGAATTTGGTATTAATTCTCCCCAAATTCCCAAATTATGGCTGCCACTAAATAGCATCAAGAAGATGCGTAGCAAACTACGCAACCACTTTAGCCTGGACCACAAGTGGCATGAATAAATAAAATCTATGCATTTAGTAGTCTGGACCAAAAGTGGCATGAATAAATAAAATCTATGCATTTAGTAAGAAGTAAAATCCTTTGATATTGCGTTTTCAAAGGGGCATGTCGATTACTAAGAGCAAATATTTAGCAAGATCAAGAAGCATACCGATGTCTAGCAGCATTGTTGCAATTGATGCATCGCAGCAGAAGATGACTGTAGCCGACATCTCCGCACTCGTCACACACATCATCCTGCACAAGAAAATTCACCAAAAGATGTATTGTTGGATTAGCATTGGCTTCACAGATCGATCTCCCAAATAAATACAGTCTCAATTAATCTCATCCACTCTAAACACATGACGCGTTTGGTTGGCAAATTTTTCGTTGTCTTCCTATTACACCGGCTCGTGATTACGTTATCGGTGTTTGTTTAGGTCAGTCCGGTTTTAGATCCCTGTAATGCTCTTCTCAAAACCAAAAACAGCCCAAACGGACTGGTATGGGAAAACACCGCTCCTCCGATAACGGCCCCCTTTCTCTATTCTCCGCTAGTCCTGATTATTTTTCACCACGAGCACGCTGCAACGACCAGCAGCGCCCCAGATCTTCCTTCGCGTCCATGGAAAACACAGCCGACGATCTCCCTCTGCTGTGAGCAGCAGCGTCGTGATCTTGCGTCACCGCCATTGGCAGCAGCGCCGGCTTCCTTTTACGGCCGTGAGGAGCAGCGCCGGCAATCTCCCCCGCCGTGAGGAGCAGCACCGACGATCTACCCCCCGCCGTGTGCAGCAGCGCCGGCAATCTCCCCCTCCGTGAGGAGCAGCACCGACGATCTACCCCCCGCCGTGTGCAGCAGCGCCAAAGATCCCGCCGCCGTCGTCGGCAACAGTGTGGCCGATTTACGTCCGCCGTCGTGAGCAGCTGGCACCCTCGTTTTTCGATGCAACCCAACCCACCGCTTCCTCTTCCCTTGCTTGAACCAAACACATCGTGCAATCGCATAGTTCCCGATCTAATACAGCGGATTCTCGTTACAACACTGAATACATTACCTGTACCCAACCAAACGCGTCAGACAGATCTCCCATCCCTCCTACAAAAGGGCCATGTCGCCGGCGGAGATCAAGGCAAATCCGCTGCGACCCCGGCCCCGCCGCCTCCACCGGGAGAGGAAACCTCCAGAAACCCCACAGGAGGAGGAGAGAGACGATGCCCAGAGTATGAAGCAGAGAGAGAGAAGACGTACCATCTCACGGCGTTCCCTCGGATCTTCCGCCTCCCGAACTAGAAGAGCTTCGCAAACCCAGCACCGCCAGACGAAGCAGCATCAGCAGCAGGGGAAGGAGAGAGCGCCGGTGGCGGCGGAGGGCTGAAACAGAAAGAACAGAAGCGGCGCTAATAAGGGAAACGCTGCCCGTATATAGGGGCGATTTGATAATTTGCCACCCCTTACTTTTCCCTTTCACAATTTGCCACCCATTGTCTCAATGACGGGCGGGCCCGGGCCCCACCTGTCATTCTCAGGGGGGCAAATTATGAAAAGGAGAGGTAAGAGGTGGCAAATTATCAAATTTGCCCGTATATAGGGCTTTGCGAGGTGTCTAGGGTTTCTTTTTTTCTTGAGATCTGCAACGTGTCTAGGTGGTGGGGCCGGCGGCTGCCGCGTTTCACCCCAGCGGCTGGTTGTGCGGGGCATCACCTCCCTTTTAACCTGCGGATCCTGACGCAGGTGGGCCGGCCCACATCACGGCAGCGCTGCTTCGTTTACCTTTCTGTTCCCTAAAAAAACCTCCGTCTTTCCTTTTTTTTTTAGTGTCACTTTCCGTTTTTTTGCTGTTGGTGTCTTCTTTTGCTCGTTTTACCAGGAAGTTGATTTGTCTAAAAAAACCTGGAAATTTATTTGTTCCTTAAAAAATCTGTAAGTTGATTTTTTTTCATTCTTTTTATTTGTGCGATTTTCTTCTTTGGTTTTTTTTGTGTTTTCATTTTTGTTGTTTCCTTTTTTAAGATTTGGTTTTTCTTCTGCTTTTTTCACATCCTTTTATTTAGTTTCGTGATATATGGTGAGCATTTTTTAAATATAAAATGAACTTACTTTAGTGCACAATGTTTTTCTTAAATACACATTGCATATTTTAAAATATATGATAAATAATTTTGTAATATACTTAAACATTTTCTAATCTGTTTTCAATTATACAATGACTATTTCGTAATACACACTGAATATTTTTTTAATACTGTGACCCTTTTTAAATCACATACTAATAAATTTTTAAAATATATTAATTATGTTTTAATACATTTTTAAATGTCTTGCTTCTAATAAACAACATTCTTTTTTTTTAAAACAGCAAAGGAACCAAAGACAAAAATAAAAATTCCTCCTAGGTAGAATGAGCCGGCCCATTTTCCTCGGCTTCAAGGGGAGATTTCCCTATTTTGACACCCACGTGCGTCCAATAGGAGCTCTCCCTTTTAACGATGGTGGATCATATTTGCTGCCCGAGGCTACTACACTCGCACAAAGGGTGAGGTAGGCCAGCCTAGTTCTGGATTCTATCTACGCGATGCTGCTTTTTGCCTTTTTTCTTTTGTGGTTTTTTATGTTTTTTTCTTTTTCTTTAAGGTATAGTTTCTGTCGGAGTAATGGGCCACGGGTAGGCTAACCCGAGTTCCAGAACCTTTCAAGACATCGTGGCAGACTACGCCCCTCAAGTATCTACGGCGACTCCAAGATGGCCGAGTCCCAGAGGCGACTCCCATTCAAGCCGAGTCCAGGAGGCGACTCCAAGATGGCCGAGTCCCAGAGGCGACTCCCATTTAAGCCGAGTCCCAGAAGCGATTCAGAGGAAGCCGACTGTGGGGAGTCGGCCCGCGACTTCCAACCACCCCGATAATTAAAGGCGAGCATGGCCACAGTGCGCCGTACTCGCGGAGATCTCCGCCCGGCGCGGCACTGTTGCCATGCCGGCCCTGACATCAGCCCCGGGGACGGGGCCCTGTACCCATGACCTCCTGTCTGTACGGCCCGGAGACGGCGGGGCCTATCAGCCAGCGAGAGTATTGAAGACGGCGAGAGCACTGAAAGTCGGACCCGTTGGGAGTCGGCCCCCTGGAGTCGGCCGGCCCCTCCCACGGGCCCCGCACGCCATTAACCAGACGCGACAGGGGAATGGCAACAGCGATCGTCCGTCAGGCGGTGGCACTGTTGCCATGACCCCACGACCAAGCCCGCGTCATTAGAAGCACGGCTACATTAATCCGCAGCCGGCAAGACCCGCCCGCGGCGGACACGGGCTGACGCCCTCATACCAGGCCAGTCGGCGGGACCCACCAGTCGGCGGGCCCCAGGAGTCGGCGAAGAAGACGGCGCCTGAGAGACAGACGGCTGGGACCCGCGCCTAGCCGGTGTACCATTGTACCCCTGGGGGTAGGCCTATATAAACCCCTAGGGCACCCATGCAAAGGGTTGGCATCCAGTAGCAATAGACAGACCACACAGGAGGGAAAGAGCTAGCCTTGCCCTCTCCTACCTCTAGAAAAAGCTCTAGGAGCACCCTTGTATTCACTTTGCCTTAGTGATCATGCGGTGATCCCGCAGAGCAGCAGTAGGGGTGTTATCTCCTCGGAGAGCCCTGAAGCTGGGTAAGATCCGCCGGCGTGCATGTCTTCACCTCATCCCGTTTCCAGGCACCGGCAACGTTCGACTCGCCCCCACCATGATAAGCCATCCTTTGGCATATGTCGCACCCAACCCCCAACATTTGGCGCCCACTGTGGGGCTAGGTGCACCGTCGTCCGGAGATTTGTTCTGGACGGGAACCCTCTTCCTCCCTGGCGAGCGCAGCCAGCCAGGCTCGCCAGACGGAGTCTGCATCGACGCGCTGCGCGGCGCTGAGGCCGCCTATGCAGTGAGCAGCCCCGCCGAACTTGTCGGCGAGGTTCGCCTCTCCGACGAGTCTGCATCCGACGCGGGCACGGGTGGCCCCGAGAGTCTCCTTGCGGGCCTCCTCGACCAACTCCACGTCACCGGCGAGCCTGCCGTGGACTTGGAGTCCGTAGGCTCCACCGACCCGATGTTGGTCGACTCCGACGTCGTGTCTCTTGACACTTTCCCCACCAACGTGGTGGTCTACGACGAGCCGCTTCCCCACGAGGAGAGCGGCGGAAGCGTCGTCACGGAGGTGCTCGTCATCAGTCACGCTGAGCGCTCCGGTGAGGAAGCTCAGGACCCGCTCGCCGCGGCCCTGCAAGACCTAACTGTGCCCATTCCAGAGGACGCAGACGCCGAGACGCTGGAGACACGCCGCCTTCAGATCATCGAAGGCGCCAAGAAGCTGGCGAGCATGAGGCGCCTGTCAGAAGCCTACCAGCGCGAGATGGATCGCACCGTGGGCGGCTTGCCGGCTCCGACTGGGCCTAGCCGCCTAGGCACGGTCCGACAACGCGGCGCGACCATTGCCGACTTGTTTGGGCCAATCGCCCCGTATACGCCACCCCTGCGGAGAACATCCGCGCCGCCCAAGCGGCGACTGGCGAGCTGAAGAACTTCGAGGGCGAAGAGCACCGCATGATGACGGAGCGAGTCCAACAGCTCCTTGATGCGGTTGCTGCGCAGAACGCGGCCGGCGGCCGCATGGATGCGCTACAGCAACCAAATGACGACTTGCCTCCCCGCCGAGATCAAGGCGCGACATCTCAGACGCCGACTAGCGGAGTCCGCGGAAGGAAAGAAAAAGAGCCGGTTGTCAGTCATAGTCAGACTCGCATCACCATTGAGCGCGACTAAGACGGCCGTCCGAGAGGAGTGGAGCGGCGGGACGACTACCTGCCTCCCCCACCAAGAAGAGAACGGCGAGTTTCCCCGCCGCCCGTCGAGCACCCGACTCTCGGTGGCCGCCTTGGCCGCAGGGAGGGAGTCGGACAAAACGACGCTCGCCACCGGATCAACCGACTCCACCGATCCCTGGCGCTAGAAGAAGAAGATGAGCTAGGTCCGCCTTGCTTTGGACCCCGCATCCGAGACGAGTCTTTCCCCAAAGGGTTCACGCTTCCCCGAGACACACCCAGGTACACCGGCTCCATGAAGCCAGAAGACTGGCTAATTGATTACTCCAGGACGTCAGTATAGCGAACGGCAACAAGCGAGTTGCCGTGAAGTATGTTCCACTCATGCTCTAGGGCACGGCCCGGACATGGTTGAACAGTTTGAAGCCCCGCAGCATCAACAGCTGGGTCGACTTCACCGAAGCCTTCATCTGCAACTTCACAAGCACGTACAAGCGACCTCCCAAGCCACGCCAGCTTTCCTTGTGCGTGCAAGGCCCTGATGAGTCAACACGCAACTACCTCACGCGCTGGGGCGAGCTTCGGAACTCCTGCGAGGGCGTGCACGAGGTGCAGGCTATCGAGTACTTCACTGCCGGGTGCCGAGAAGGCACCCTCCTCAAGCACAAGCTCCTCTGCGACGAGCCAGAAACCCTCGACGAACTGCTGGTCATAGCAGACAAATACGCCACAGCCGACTCCTCCATGAAGACAGAGATTCAAGTCAATGCGGCTGGCAAAGTGGCCCCTCGGGATCCCAGAACTCCAGCTGGAGACACCAGTCGGCAACAATAACAGAGCGACAACAAACGCAAGGCCCAACAGCCGACTTCCAGCAGTCGGCAGGTTGCAACAGTCGAAGATCAACAGCCGGAGGGGCAACCTCCGGCCAAACGGCAGAAAGGCGGCAAATCCAATTGGTTGCCGGCCTTTTCCTATGAACAGACTCTGGATGGTCCCTGCAAGTTCCACAATGGCGCGAAGCCGTCAAATCATACCACCCGAAAGTGCCACTGGCTCACCAGAATCGTCAAGGGAGATGGCCTCCTTCCCCCTTCGCCTGCTGGGTCGCCGCCTCCACCGCCGCCCCAGCAGCCGGCTGCTCGGCCAGTCGGCGCAGTACAAGACGAGTACCCCGAAGAGCATGGAGCTTATGTGGTGTTCACCAGTGTGGCTGATGATCGACGCAGCAGACGGCAGCAGCAGAAAGAAGTAAACGCAGTGGCAACAGATACTTCAGAGTTCATGCACTGGTCCGAGAAACTTATCAGTTGGAGCAGAGCGGATCACCCAGAGGTGATGCCGAATCTGGGCTCCTATGCCCTGGTCCTAGGTGCCACCTTGGCCACTGATAGGTGGGCCGCCCGCTTTTCGAGAGTGCTGATAGACGGAGGCAGTAGCATCAACATCCTGTACAAA